TACAGTCACCATTCCACCACAGGAGGGCTTCTCAAACTGGCCCTAAACAATAGAGAAAAAAAAGATTTAAAAAAATCAATCCAACATAAAGTATATAAAATAAATATAAAAGAAATATAAAAAAACTTGTGCCACATAAAGTATATGCATGATTTTCAATTAATTTCAGCAGTTGCTTTACTTATCTTTTAATCCTTGCCTATGTTCCGATTGAATCAAGTGCCATAACTGCTGTTCCAGGATTTCTGTTTCAAGGTGGCTTCACCCTTCCATCCTTGTATGCAGGGACTAGAGCTGTGTCTCCCTTCATTGTGTGCATCGATAGAAACACACAGCTCCATAGCTTAGAATGGTAAGATACTTCCCTGCTCCCCCCTTCTCCAAAACTAACAGACTGGTTGGAGACTGCACTAACCCTTTCCTGTGTAGTTCAGGGAAGCAGTGCAGACAGAGCAGGATCCTACAGCAATGAAAGTTGAGATGCTGGGGTAGGAATTTTCAACAGTTTACTGGGGAATATTTATTTTATTGTGATGGGGCACTATTCTTCCCACTGATACCAATGATGGGACACTATTCCTCCCACTGATACCAATGATGGGACACTATTCCTCCCACTGATACCAATGATGGGGCACTATTCCTCCCACTGACACCAATGACGGGGCACTATTCCTCCCACTGACACCAATGACGGGGCACTATTCCTCCCACTGACACCAATGATGGGACACTATTCCTCCTACTGATATCAATGATGGGACACTATTCCTCCCACTGATACCAATGATGGGGCACTATTCCTCCCACTGACACCAATGATGGGGCACTATTCCTCCTACTGATATCAATGATGGGGCACTATTCCTCCCACTGATACCAATGATGGGGCACTATTCCTCCCACTGATACCAATGATGGGACACTATTCCTCCTACTGATACCAATGATGGGACACTATTCCTCCCACTGATACCAATGATGGGGCACTATTCCTCCCACTGATACCAATGATGGGACACTATTACTCCCACTAACATCAATGATGGGACACTATTCCTCCCACTGATACCAATGATGGGACACTATTCCTCCCACTGATACCAATGATGGGACACTATTCCTCCCACTGATACCAATGATGGGGCACTATTCCTCCCACTGATACCAATGATGGGGCACTATTCCTCCCACTGATACCAATGATGGGGCACTATTCCTCCCACTGATACCAATGATGGGGCACTATTCCTCCCACTGATACCAATGATGGGGCACTATTCCTCCCACTGATACCAATGATGAGACACAATTCTTCCCACTGACACCAATGATGGAACAAAATTCCTCCCACTGATACCAATGATGGGACACAATTCCCCCCACTGATACCAATGATGGGGCACTATTCCTTCCACTGACACCAATGATGGGACACTATTCCTCCCACTGACACCAATGATGGGGCACTATTCCTCCCACTTACACCAATGATGGGGCACTATTCCTCCCACTGACACCAATGATGGGGCACTATTCCTCCCACTTACACCAATGATGGGGCACTATTCCTTCCACTGACACCAATGAAGGGGCACTATTCCTCCCACTGACACCAATGATGGGGCACTATTCCCCCCACTGACACCTATGATAGGACACTATTCCTCCCACTGATACCAATGATGGGGCACTATTCCTCCCACTGACACCAATGATAGGACGGTATTCCTCCCACTGATACCAATGAGGGTGCACTTTTCCTCCCACTGATACCAATGATAGGACACTATTCCTCCTACTGACACCAATGATGGGGCAATATTCCTCCCACTGATACCAATGATGGGACACTATTCCTCCCACTGACACCAATGATGGGGCACTATTCCTCCCACTGACACCAATGATGGGGCACTGTTCCTCCCACTGATCCCAATGATGGGGCACTATTCCTCCCACTGATACCAATGATGGGGCACTATTCCTCCCACTGATCCCAATGATGGGACAGTATTCCTCCCACTGACACCAATGATGGGGCACTATTCCTCCCACTGACACCAATGATGGGGCACTATTCCTCCCACTGATCCCAATGATGGGGCACTATTCCTCCCAATGATACCAATAATGGGATACAAGTCCTCCCACTGATACCAATGATGGGGCACTATTCCTCCCACTGATACCAATGATGGGGCACTATTCCACCCCTGATACCAATGATGGGGCACTATTCCTCCCACTGACACCAATAATGGGACTCTATTCCTCCCACTAACACCAATGATGAGACACTATTCCTCTCACTGATACCAATGATGGGGAACTACTCCTCCCACTGATACCAGTGATGGGATACAATTTCTCCCATTGACATTGGAAGACAACTTTTTGCAAAAAGTAGACTGGAAGCTTTGATGTTTATCTGATTGTAGTGGATGGCTGGTGAACGTCTGGGTGCAATAAAAGGGCAAGTCACCAGTGGGAAAAGCTGAAGAGCCCATTAATATCCATCAGCTCTTTTGAGGGCTCTTTCAACTGGACTTGTTCTTTAATGTGAAAGACCTTTTGTAGCTTATCCAAGCCACTTCTTCAGTTCCAATGAGTGTGAGGAGCATTAGGGCAAATTCTACAGGTCAAGACTCTGGTCAAGACAGGTCAAGACGCAGTTTTTTTTTTTTTTTTTTTTTAAGTCCGCAAACGTGCAACTATAACGAAAAAACCCGTAAGTGTTCACAAAAAATGTGCAAGTGCAAAACACCACACGAAAAAGTGCACTTAGGGGTGTGCTGTGTCCTACCCCTAAGGGGGCTTGGACCGCTTACCCTGATCCCCCGGGGCACGAAGCTCCTGACGGGGACAAGGTTCCCAATTGGTCCTCCTGGCCAAAAGGCCTGGTGGACCACCGTTCCCTATGCCCAGCCGAAGCCGGACATCCAGTACTAGGCAAGGAGGCTCTCCCGAAGAAGAGCCTCCTAGGGATCAGGGGAGGAAGGAACCGTATGGCCACACATCCTCCCCCTAGACTTCAGGGTAGGCCCGAGGACCCACACCCTCCATCCGTGAAAAACACACACATAAGGCAAAGAAAAAGTGACAAACGTGGGAAGTGCATAATAAATAAGAGAAAGAAAAAATAAAAAAGTGGTACCGTGCCGAATTGTGCACAGACCAGGCCCTGAGGCCTGTAGCAAAAATTGCCCTGAACTTAGCCAAAAGGCCTGGTCCTTAGGGCGCTGTGCAAAAAGGAGTGTAAAAACAGTGACCAAGTGTCATTTTCACACCGTGGGGTCCCACACCCAAGTGTTACTAGTGACACCCCTGAGCGCGTCTCCCCAGGGGGCACTGAGTTTGCGGACTTTTTGCCTCCCCAGCCCCTGGCCAGACCAAGGTAGCTTGTTCAAATCAGGAGGTACTGGGTCTTTCCAGTCTTCCCAGAGGAATTACTCCCAGGGCCCCAGCATCACTTGTGGCGCTCCCCGGTTTCTGTCCCTCCGGTACTAGCCTTCCGGACCCCCATCATTCCAGTGAGGGTACTATACAACAACCATCCCCGCAAAGCTAGAATGGTCGGGAGCACCCCCACTGGACACTGATAAGAACAGATACTACACTTGATCTTAGCCAAAACGCAGTTTGCCTAAGTGTAGGCAGATGAAGTTAGCCACTAGGTGGCTCTGTACAGGAATAGCTTCTGGTTACAGCACACGGTGTCAGCAGGTTCTAGGCCTCTTTTAGGTAGAGCCCTCTTGCAGTGGTGTCAGGGGTGAGACAGCACCCATATATAAGTCAGGTAGGGACGAGCACCCACTCTCTTGAGGATGCAACCACCTAGGTTTGCCACCTCATCCCTTTAAACCCGACCACATATTAATTACACAGGTTCTGGGGCTGATACGGTGGTAATTAAACTCACTTGGTGCCTTATCTGCATTAAATTAGCCTGATGATGAGGTGGCTACCCTATAACCTGCACACTTAGGCCCTGGATAGAGCAGGAGACCGGGTGGAATGGACCTGTACGCAGGAGGAGCCAGCTGTTTGTCCCTTTTGGAAGCGAGGGCTAGGGCAGATTACAAAAGGCCTTTTAGGCCAGGTCAGAGATCCTTGCGTGAAGCTGCTTTCCTGGAGGATCCCCAGGAGACATGTACCTGGCAAGGAGGTGACTTCAGAGAGCACAGTCTTGTGAGTACCAATGACCCTGAGCAGAGGAGAGACTGTAAATGAGATGGCTGGTGAGGTGCTACATGTGCTTTCACTTGTGACTACTGCGGGCCATCCACTAAATGTGATTGACTGTGTCAAGTCAAGTGACTCCGTCATGTACGTCCTTGTGATCTCATTGTAATGCTGTTTCCTGAATACCACCAGTAAGGTGCAGCAAAAATATTTCTTGGGTGGACATTCCTTTCCTTGGTCATACAAAGGTCTTTGGCTGGGAACATCCTGTGGAGGCCAATGGCAAAGAGCAGGACACAAGATGGTGGACGGTTCGGCCTCAACAGGAGGAACAGTGTTCTAGCAAGATTGGTAGGAGGGTTGGGAGGGTGCAGGGACTTGTGCTCTTGGTGCCAAAACAAGCCAACCATAAAGCCCTCCCAAAGGTCTATGGCTGGGAACATCCTGTGGAGGCCAATGACAAGGAGCAGAACACAAGATGGTAGAAGGTTCCTCCTCAACAAGAGGGACAGTTTTCTAGCAAGATTGGAAGGGGGGTTGAGAGGGTGCAGGGACTTGTGCTCTTGGTGCTAAAACAAGCCAACCATAAAGCCCTCCCTAAGGTCTATGGCTGGGAACATCCTGTAGAGGCCAATGACAAGGAGCAGAACACAAGATGGTGGAAGGTTCCGCCTCAACAAGAGGGACAGTTTTCTAGCAAGATTGGAAGGGGGGTTGGGAGGGTGCAGGGACTTGTGCTCTTGGTGCCAAAACAAGCCAAGCACAAAGGCCCCCCTAACATATACCTTAAGCAAATGGGAGATCCCTCAGGAACAGCAAAGTGCACATTTTGGTCAACTGGTTCTCAAGAGGTGTGAAGAGACCATCTATGTTGAACTGGAACAGCTATCCCTGAATGGGGTGGGGGTCTTCAACACCATATTTCTCCCACATATAATGTTGTTTTACACCTCTACCCTTGTGATTTGACAACAATTCACACTCTCAGCCACAGATATTAAAAAAAATGAGTACATATGTAGACCTCTGACACCAAGGATTGTATTATATTTATTTTTTATTACAGGTACTTATAAAGCACCGTCAATTTACGCAGCACTTTACATATATATTGTACATTCACCTCAGTCCCTAACCCTCAAGGGCCATACAATCTAAGGTCCCTAACTCACATTCATACATACACATACTAGGGACAATTTAGACAGGAGCCAATTCACCTACCAGCATGTCTTTGGAGTGTGGGAGGAAACTGGAGAACATGCAAACTCCAGGCAGGTGGTGCCGTGGTGGATTTGAACCAACGACCCTAGTATTGCCAAGTAGAAGTGCTAACCATTGAGCCACTGTGCTGCCCGTAGTGCTTATATAGCCATATCAGGGTGGTTCCACAACTCTCACAGCTCCCACCCACTTCTTGGACAACCAACTTCTGCTTTGACACGTTCCATGGTGTTCGGATGAAGGTACAGGTGCTACCTGCATGGATATAAATGTTGGAGACACATTAGAAGTAAAGCAGTGGTTTGAGAAGCTACACAATGTCTTCAACATTACAGAACAAGTCCGATTAAATTCGACCACCTACTACTAGATCTAACAGGAAGCAGATGTAACTTACTTCTTCTTTTCCCACATTTGTGTTTAGTTCGGAAGAGTTGTCTCACTCTCCAAATTCTCTCCAAGCAAGTTAGATGATGAAAAATGAAATACCTTCTAATACATCCCCTGATGATTCTTCTCCTCCAAAAATGTAAGTTACGTCTTGCTTCATATTATTTTATTGGTGCGTTTTTGTGCGTGTTCCAAAAAAAAAAGTGCATTTGAAGCAAAAAATGGCCATCTGTGGAATATTGCAAAAAAAAAAGACACGTTGTTGTAAAGCAGGCCATAGACTTCCGATAAAGTTGCCGAAATATCGGCCGATAAAAAAATCGGCCAATATTCGGATCGTTAGTGGAGAAATCTGTCGGGCGTTTTTCGTAATTTTAAGACATTTAGAAAATCGTCCCTGCTGGAAAATCGTCGGACGATTTGGTCGTTCGACCGATTTTTGCGGTAATTATGGTCAAATGGGCTGTTCTTTTTGCCGTTTTTCAAATAAATTGAATATGAAGAAAAGGAAGAAATAGATTTTGAAGGAGAAGAAGAAATTGATTTTGCAGGAGAAGAAGAAGAAGAAGAAGAAGAAGAAGAAGAAGAAGAACTTGCAACATTGTATCTATATGTATCCATTTCGGATACAGATGTTTCTATTCCAGTACCAATAGATACAATGTTGTTTCTTCTTCTTCTGTATAATCTATTTCTTCTGTCAAATATAATAACGGGCTCTATGCAGGGACACCACTATTATATTAATTGACGGCCGTAGACTGGATGAAAACCAGCCGACTTTTTTGTAAAGTCATAGTAACAGAGCTGCTCTTAATGCACTGAATGTAGAATATTCTAGATTTTGATAAAAAGGGAATAAAAAACTAAATTGTAGGTAAGTTCATCTGTCAGGAGCAGTTTTATAAAATATAACTACATTTAAGTAGCTAAAGCAAACCTAAAATTAGTTTTTTTTTTTAATTATTATTATTTTGGGGTTTTTTTTGTTTTTTTTTCTTTAGTTTTTCTTTGTCTCTTTGATTTTTTTGTATAATAAAACGATATTTAACCATGACTAACCCCTTGTTACTAGTAATTAGAAATAATTAATGCTTTTCTTTCCCTGCTTTTTTAAACCAATTTTGTTGATTCTTTCCAATTAGCTTTATGATTTTTTTTTTTTTTTTCTTTTTTTTTTTTTTATATTAACATTAAAAAGCACTTTACTTTATATACTAAAATATTCATAATATTACAATGCCTTG